ATCCCAACAGAAACCTTTCTGATTCGGGGAATTTGCCCTTAATCGCTCCTTGAATCCAAACCCCCCCCCTCTTCCCCTAGCAGTTCAAGAAAGTCATCTTTTCAGCAAGCTTCCAAAAACCCTGCCTTCCCACAACACCTCGCTTGGAAATAGGCCTCAAGACCTGAGCTCGCAAAGTACCCGCAACATAGACACCTGCAGACCCTAAACTACCTCTCAACACGTGGGAACCTTCGCTTCGGAAGACAGCCCTAAGCCCGCTCCCTACTCCGTAACTGAACGCCCAGAACGCCGAAAAAATCCGGCAGTTTTGTTGAGCTTTGAGGCCCTTTCTCAGCTCGTAGTTCTGGCACTGCTCGCCTCGCCCTGCGATGGCGCCGTCGTGGGCCAGGGGGCCCAAGGGTGGGGTCTATAGGGTTTGAGGGGCTTAGGGTTTGGGGTTTGGGCCTTAGGGTGTAAATGTTTAATTGTTTAGGGTGTCGGGGTGTAAGGTTTGGAGTTCGGGGTTCGAGGCTTTAGCGTGATTGGGCAGGGTTTAGGCGGGGGCTTTGGCGTATGCAAGGGCTTGAAGGGTCGCTTCTGGGTTGAGTTGTGGGGTTTTCTGGGCCGTTCGGGCTGCAGGACGGTTGCGGCTGCAGCTGAGTCGGTTCGTCGACCTACCCTGAACCGGGAACTCCCGTAAGCATCTCTGGCCCTGAAGATCGAAGATCCTGCAGCTAGTGAACCTCTCTTTTGGAACATCCCTGCTAAGATTCTTGTACACAACCACGTGCAAAACCGATAGAACAACAAAAGCACCGTGGTGGCAAAACCCTCCCCAAAGCCCGAAGCCCCGAACCCCAGCACGTCCCCTTCCCTAAGGCAGTCGCGGTCCGGCAGAGGCCCGCGAAGCTGTTGAAAGCTAAGCTTTTGAGTGCCGTGGCTTAGGCAGAGGTTTATAGGGTTGAGGGCGTGGCAGGTTAGGGCTATGTGCTTTTGAGAGATCGATCCAGCAAGGCGAAGCAGAGCTCAAAGGCAAATCTGAGGTCCCCTTGTGCCCATCTCGCAGCTCCCGAGGAGGCACGCCGCCATGCCGCAGCAATATCTCTATGAGCTGACTGCAGTCCCTGCCGGATGGTCCCTGGCCACCGTCATCGACGCCTTCGCCCGCTTGGCTGTTTATCATGCAGATCATCGGAATGCTAGCGCGGCGAGCCGAGCTCGCGAGGCGCTGAGCTGCCGACTGGCGGAGTTGTGGGCCTCGCAGCCGCAGGAAGCCGAGGCCTGGCTCCAGCGGTGCCGGGAGCGCTTCGCGACGGAGCTCGCAGACAAGGAGCCGAGGCCGGAGGAGCTCAAAGAGGCGCTGCTCCGGCACGGGGCGGCCGAGGTCGGCGGCAAGTACGAGTGCGGCCACTGGCGCCTCTCCGAGGCCGGGCTCCTGCGAGGAGAGCCGCGCGCCTCAGCAGCGGAGCGGGAGCGCGGGGCGGCTTGGTACCTGCAGGTTTCCCCTGCCCGCGACCGCTGCCGGGAGCTCGCGGAGCGGCTCGCGGAGGCCGAGAGCCCGGAGACGGCGCGGAAGCGGCAGAAGCTCGTGGAGGAGACCTCCGCCGCGCGCCGGCGCCTCGAAGCGGAGCTCCAAAAGTCGCAGGAGGAGGGCCAAGAGCTCAGCAATCGCCTGGCTGCGGTGGAGGCAGAGGTGTCCAGCAAGACCGCGGAGCTCCAAGCTGCGCAGAGCGAGAGCGTGAAGTGCAAGGAGCGGTGCGAAGAGCTCGCAGCTCGTGCTGCAGCTGCGGAGTCAGCCGTGGCGGAGATGCAACAGGAGCTCGTGCAGCTGCAGGAGGAGCACAGCCGGTGCCAAGAGCGTTGTGAGGAGCTTGCAAATCGTTTGGAGGCAGAAGCTTCAGAGCATGCCAAGACCAAGGAGCTTCTGGCGCAGGCCGAGTCCCATGCCGCCGAGCAGCAGTCGGAGGTG